CCCATTCCTCAACCCCTCCACGCCTCTCTATATACTAAAACTTTGTTTTCATTTTTCCTTTTCTTCACTTTTTTCTTTCCCTTCCTTTCCCATTCCCCTCCCTAGTTCCCCTTCACCTTTGAACATTTTCTTCCTATTTCATATCTATTAAGCATATTGATCATTTACACTTTCAATTTGTCACACCAGAGACATGTGACCTATTTCACTTGAGTATGGCCTCAGGGTGCATCCATTTAGGTATAAATATCTCTAGTTTGTCTTTCTTTTTTTAGTTTGTCTTTATGGCTGAATAGTACTCCATTCTATAAAAAAAAATCCCACATCTTCTTTATCCATTTACAGTTGATGGGCATTTGGGCTGTTTCCAAGATTTGGCTACTATAAACTGTGTGGCTATAAAAAAAAATATGGACAGCTTCATGAATGTGCACATTATCCTTGTGCAGGGGCCATGCTAATCTCTGTCTCTTTCTAATTCTAGTGTATGTGCTGCTGAAGCAAACATTACATTATGATCTTTAAGTCATAGTGTGGCAGGAAAGGAGTAAGCATCACCCAAAGCAAAACTGCCTTTTAGTCTCGGGAGGAAATTAGTGTGTCCATCTGTATGCAGAACAGTTGTGTATCATGTTAGGCTTAATCATGAACTTGCTATTTGGAGATGAAGTTTAAGATGTGTCTGGCTGTCAAGTTGACAAGGGTGGATCATGATCATTAAGAAGGATGTATCAATTTGACAGGATTAAGAAAGCGTAGCAGATCAGTAAAGTGCAGGTCAGCAAACCGAGGGGGGTCTTAACTGCTATGAGCAGCTCTAGCCAGTAGGCTTCTATCCTGGATAGAATAAAAAAGGAAAAGATAGAAATCTGCCCTTTCCTGGAGAGCTCTAGTCTTCTTCAGTCTGTTCAGAGGCTGTTGCGTCTGGACATAGAACCAGTTTTTTCAGCCTCCCAATGCAGACTCACACCTTTAACTCTCCAGAGAGCTTGTACTGTGGACTGGAGCTACATCCTTGAGCCCTTACTCTAAAGCTCTCATCTCCAGCATGCAGATGGCCATTGTGGACACTCCCGCCTCTAGACCCAATGGCCTAATAAATCCCCTTGCATAATTACACACAGATTTTCTATTGATTCAGTTCCTCTACAGAACCCTAATACAGGCCTAATGGTGGAGATGGAGGTCACAAAATGTGGTGAATAATTGAAGGGAGGTGCTGGGTAACCCAAGGCTCCAGCTCAGGTGATTAATTAGTTGAAGGGAAGGCCTGGAATGAAATTCACTTCTGTACATAATGAGCTTGAGGTTCCCAAAGATCACACTAGTTAGTAGGCAAGCAGGTGGATACAGTTGGAAATGGAGGCAATGGTTATATAATGAATGAAAATGGACCGAGAACATCAAGTGAGAAGTAGGTGAGAGATGGAGCCCCAAAGGGCACTGACGTCAGAATCCGGAGAAACAGGATGGAGCAAGCACAGTGTCTCCTCTTTTAGTGTGCTTCCCCAGACTATGTGCAGGCCCAGGACATATCGGTGACAATCTCTTTGGGATATTATGCAGGCGACTCAGCTCAGACTAAGAAAGATGGCTTCCAGGACAGACTGGGTGTCATGTCAACACAGACCTAGTGAAATCTGAGTTGAGAAGCAATCACTGGGCGAGGTTTCAGTGGGCTCTGGAGGCCTCAGTGACAGAACTTCAGCAGAATCCTAGGGACATGAGAGCTAGCAGGGAGGACAGGAAGAGGTCAGATAGCTTCTGTGCTGCTTAAAATGTAGAAGCCGGGCGCACACCTGGGATCCCAGCACTCAGGAGACTGAGGCAGGAGGTTCATGTGAGTTTGAGTTTGAGGCCAGCCTAATTTAGACGGTGAGGTCCAGGCCAGCCTGAACTACATAGTAAGACTGTCTCAAAAGAACAAACAAAAAACTCCGCAAAATATAACAAAACAAAGAAGCAGAAAGTCGGGCATATTTAGCAAGGAGAGGGTTTGCACACAGAGAAAGAAGGAAAACAGAGAAAGAGGGGTCACTCTGGAAAGCCAGTGAGAAGGTGGGTGAGGCTGGAACGGGGAAGGGATGAGGGAGAACTCCGCAGCCAGGGTGCTGCTGGGAAGTCTGGGCAACTTTCCTGACATGCCGGGGCAAGAGGACAACTACAGACAAAACACCAGTCTCTAAACTGTGCTCAATACAGTCCTGCAGAATGTCTGGCTCTCTAGAAATGACGCTGGGAGACAAAAGGAATAAATCTCACACACCTCCAGCAGTTACCTCGTTTCCAGGCTTCACCGTGCGCAGTTTTCCTTACAAGTGCTTTCTGCTGTGAGGGCGCATGGACAAGTCTTCCCTGGGGCTCTTAGATGCTCACAACACAACACCATCAGGTCAGCTCTGGGCTACACTGAAACTAAGGAGTGAGGTCAACAGGCCCCCAGATCTACCTCACAGGCCAGAAGCAGAACTTGCAAAGCAGATCACAGCAGCCGACCTCAAGACAGTCCTGACCAAAGTCACAGAGAAGAGGCCATTTTCTCCAGTGTCATTCCTCATTCTAAATTTTTTTTGTTTTGTTTTGTTTTTTGGTACTGGGGATCAAACGCAGGACCTTGTGTTTACAAGGCAGGTGGTGCACCAAATCCCCAGCCCATAAACTTCCTTTTATTTATTTATTTTTGTGGTGTTGGACACTGAACCCAAGGGTTAGCAATGTTAAACCAATGCTCTATCACCGAGCTTCATTCATCCCCAGCCCTTCCTTTAGTATTTACACAGGCTGAGCATTCCTAATCTGGACATCTAAAACGCTCTGGAACTTTTAAGAAACTTTTATTTTTGGCCCCAAGGTCAAACCTGGAGCAGTGGGCATGCTAAGTGAGCACTCTCCAAGGAGCTACACAGAAATCCCAAACTGTGAGCGATGACATGATGCTCAGAAAGTTTTGGACTTCGGATTTTCATATAAAGATGCTCAACTGGCAAAGTCTATGCAAATATCCTCAAGACCAAAATAAAGCTGATTTTTAAATCATTCACTGTTCACTGATGGAAATATTAAAGTAACTTTTTAATTTATTTTTTTGGTACTGGGGATTGAACTCGGGTCCTTACACTTTTGAGGCAGGCGGCAAAACCACTGAGCTAAATCCTCATCCCTAAAGTAACAACTTTGATCATCAAAATTAACCTGCTGTCTCAATCAACAGATCATTTATTTAAAGTAAAACCTTTGGTAACCAGTCTATTTCAGTGCTACCTTTACACTGCAAAAGATACTAAAAAATCTTACAAGGAATTTTAACCCTTGTGTATGAGAATCAAAGTAACTAGAGCTCCAAAACCCCACAGGTCAGTTCTTTGTTTTTACTTACTTTTTTTTTTTTTGGTACCAGGGATCAAACTTGGGATCTTGCACTTGTGAGGCAGGTGCTGGAACCACTGAGCTAAATCCCCAACCCATATTTTTATTTATTCTTTTCTTTTGGTTTTTTGAGACAGGGTCTTACTAGATAGGTGAGACTGACCTGGAACTCACTATGTAGCCCAGGCTGGTCTGGAACTCACAGCGATCCTCCTGCCTCAGCCTCCGGAGTGCTGGGATTATAGGAGTGCACCACCACGCCCGACTGAGTTCTTTGTTTTTAGAGACAGAGACAGAAATTACTTAGTATGAACCCAGCAAAATCATATAAACAACAACTGGAAATTTTAGTTCTAAGTTTAATGGCAATGTCTGATTTGTTCTCATAAGCAAAAAGCAGCAAACCCCTTAAAACAAATAGTTTCATAGACATAAGCAGACTAGTATCTCTGAAATCATCTCTAATGTCTACATTTTTTATAGATTTCCATCAGATGAATATGAAAAAGCTGTAGTGATTTCTTAGCTTTCAGAAAAAAAAATTTGTGAAATCCAAATTAAAACAATGAAATCATGAAGATGTAGATTTGCTAGTCACCACTAATGTACACATCATAAAACTCATTTTTTTGTTTGGTACCAGGGATCAAACTCAGGACCTTGAGCTTGTGAGGCAAGGCAGAGGCGCCACTGAGCTAAATCCTTAGTGCATAAAAGCTGATTTTTAAAAGAATAAAAAGTACCATATTTTGAAAAACAACTCAAAAATACAAAATCCTACAGACAACAGTGTAAGTAAGGCCCATAGTAAGTACCAGACTTACCTCATCTGCCTGACTAAACTTATATTATTGCCTCAGAGGGGACTTCTGGCCTTGAAAGAAAGCCCAAGACTGAAATTATAGTGAAATGAAATTAAGATCTAATTTAATTTAGATCAACTCAGTGATATACATGAACAAAATTTGATAAATCTGACAAAATATTACAAATCAGCTTAAAACACCCTTATCAATAGATTTGTATTTACATGAGCTCCTTGAATATATAACAGGTAAGGATGCGATGAAGATGTTTTTACAATATTTATTAAGATAACAAATTTATAAATTGAAAGACTCAGAGGCACATAGTTTAAAAGGCCAATACCATGGGAATAATGAAGTCAACACAGAAAACTAAGAAGATATGAACAGTCACAACCGATACAAAATTTTTAGAAGTTACATTCCCCCCAATGAACACATCATAGGAATCATCCTTCAAAATTACCATGATAAAAAGTTATTTCCTTCAAAGAAAAATAATTCTTTCCACCTACCAAGCCTAGAAAATCCTATTTACAATGAACTGTCCTGCATTTCACCAGTATTATGGCCTCTTCTATTTTGCCATTAAAAGTATTGAAAACTTTATAGCTATTATATTTACAAATGCACATATTTATTAAATTTGCTCTTCATTGAGAACAACTGAATATATACTTAAATGAAATCACAATACAAATGCTTTAGTGTCAAAAGCACGTTCTGTGGGGAGAGGTGTGTGGGAAGAGGTGTGTGTAGAAGTATGCTGTTTCTGTAGGGTACCGGCCAGTAAGTCTGATAAAACCCAAGGGAGTCACAAAACAGGTCTTTGTTGATGAAGAATTTTATTTCTGTTTTTACTGGACACACTGGGCTTCTTCAGTCAACCTTTACCACACTGTATATTTTGGTAACAAACCAAAAGCATGCAAAGAAGCCAATAGTTCCTAGAAAAGAGAAAACAAAAATAAATACATTTTCAAATAAAATTCATAATTTATACCAACATGCACATTTTAAACAACTGGATCCTTAAAAAAAGAAAAAAATCCCAAAACTCTAAGCTATCAATGGCCGGGAAAATACCAGATCATGGCTTTCTGAAAAACATGAAACTACTTCAAATCAAATTTCTTAAAAAAACAGATACAGGGCTGGGGATTTAGCTCAGTGATTCCACTGTGTGCCTCACAGCACAAGGACCCGAATTTGATCCCCAGTACAAAAAAACAAAAACAAAAACAACAAAAAAACCCAGACACAGGGCTGGGGAGTTAGCTCAGTGATTCCACTGCCTGCCTCACAAGCACAAGAACCCGAGTCTGATCCCGGGTACAAAAAAAAAAAAAGAAAAGAAAAGAAAAGATACAATTTTTGTACTGTTAAGATTACCTAAGCTTTCCATAATACATATTATTTTCCTTACTACATACAAAAAATTGAGTTAAAAAAATGAAAAGAATCCCAAATTTATTATCCTGTTTAAGAATATTTTATCATAAAATGGAGTTGTTCCTATGGCAGGGCCTGGTGCCAGAGCACAGAAGCGCTCCTCGCAGATGGTCCTTGGACAAGCTGACTGACATATCCAACAGAAATTCATCAGCCCTAGCCATCTCTGTATACTGTCATGCAGAGTAAATGAGATCATTCACGCAAAAAATATATGCCTTATTTTCAGGGATCTTCATCAAACTAGAAATAAAAAATCTGAATGTTAATTAGGGACACTTTTTAATGTGACAGAAATGAAGCTGAATGGGGTGAAGTGACTGTCTCAAGAGTGTGGCCTTTTCTGGTTTCAAATGGAGTATACTTTTAGATTCAAACTGTTTTGTAAAAGAATATATACTAAGTTGTAAAACTGCCTAACATAATTTAAAAAGAGACACGTGATTGATCCAGGATGAACCTCTGAAAAACTCACATGCACGCGGAAGCGGGCAGACATGCTTTCTACCCAGTACGAGGCTTATATTTCAACACTGCCTTAAAGGTAGCGCAGGGAAGAGCAGCAATACAGGAGCTTATCTAACCCGAGACCTCTGGAAGCACCGGCGGTGACTGCTCTTAACCGTGGCCACTCGAGACCCCGGGCTGGGCCCCAGCGCGCTGTGGGAGACACACAGGAGCACCTTGGTGCTTCCGAAAGGTCACAGAGGCTGAGGAGAGGCTGGGGCTAATTCTACAAACAAATATGTTTAAATGATCTTGTGGTCACAGGAATAAGAATGCGAGGAGAATACATTTTAGGATGAGGAAAATGTGTATACTTCTAAGCAGGGGTGATTTATTTCCCTTCCATCCTAGATGAAGAACAGCTACAGTGGGCCAGACTGGCACAGCACACCATCTACAGGTTTGTCTTTTCCCTTCCCTTACTCCTCTTTACCAAGAAAAATGTTTTATTACTACCATCCCAGTAAGCCCACAGGACACAATATAATACTGAAAGTGGCAGCTCTTCTTGGGCTACAGAATGATTTATTTTCATTTAATAAAATGGATTTGTTTTGTGAGATTAAATGGTGTCAGCCTGGAGTTCTCAAGTAAATACAGTCACAGCCCACTTAGGAAAATACAGAGCCTTTGCATGTTCCCACTCTGTTTGTGGTGAGTTGGTTTTTTTTTTTTTTTTTTTTTTTTTTTTTTGTACCAGGGATTGAACTCGGGTCCTTGCACTTGCAAGGCAGGCGGCGGAACCTCTGAGTTAAATCACTGGCCCTGTTTTTGGTGAGTTTTGAGACAGGATCTCAGTATGCAATTGAACTTACCACACCAGACTCGAACTTGTGGCAATCCTCCTGCCTCAGCCTCCCAAATGCTGGGATTACAGATGTGTGTTACCACGCCTGGCTCCCTACTCTTAAACAAAATCCCTTCCACAAAACGAAATGCAAGAGTAGTTAATGTCCTCACTGCCTGATTCAATTCTATGTGGCTCCAGAATTCAAATTATACAATCGGATTAATAAGTGAATGAAAATACACCACCTTAAAAGCCAGAAACAATGAACTTCAGGTGACAGCTAAGCTACCATTTCTCTATGTGCAATATGGCCACACAGAGAGGCACAAAGATAGCAACTCCCTGCTTCGAAAGTGTCTGCCATCTTACACCCACTTATGGACTTTCCTGCCTGTGACCCTGCCCTGAGCACACCACCCTGAGATGCGTGGCCCACCCTGCCCCAGCCTGACTCACTGAGGACCCCAGTGCCCGGAGCCTGTCGTGCAATGAGACAGCGCCAGCCCACCTCACACTACCTCACACTCTCAGCTTTAAGGCAGGAGTAAAAGTAAACTATTCTTTTCCTTTTTGGTTCCTTCATCCCTTTATACAACGTGCATGACAATCCTGCGCACAGTTTTAAATGTACCTTTTGTGTAATATTACTTTTTTTTTTTTTTTTGTGACAGAGAAAGGTCGCATAATTTTCTTTTTTTAATCACCCACTCCACAATTGTTAAACAGTTGTGCTGAGACCAAACACCTTTATCAATCTGATGTGGCTCCAAAATTCCATTTAAACTTGGGATTTACATATAGAAAGCAAATGTCCATCTAACACACACTGCATACCATCAGGTGCTTGGTCTAGAGTGCAGCTAAGACTTCTAGTTCCAACTTCCAGAAGAAGGACTGTCCTACTGCTGTCTTTTCTTGAGGCCACCCTCTCGGACGTAGCTGGTCCTCTCCTCAGTCTCCCTACGATGGGGGCTAAGCGGCAACAGCTCTCTTGAGAGCCTGCGTGCCACTCAGAGGGGAGGCCAAATGCTCTGCTTCCCGGCACCACAGACTCTGCCTCGCCTTCTCCGTGACTTCTGCTTCATTCCCTTATCACCTGTGCAGGTGAACTGCACAGGTGGGAGCACCAAACCATGATGCTCAGTTAGTGCTGAGGGCCAAGCACAGGAGCAATGAATACAAGAAGCCTGAAATGGGCTCTTCAAAGGGAAACTATTTATAAATTGCATAAACATGTTTAGCTAAAAATAATCTTACCTGTAAAAAGAAAGAAGATCAAAACCATTATCATGGTATAGCCAAAGTACAGAATTGTACTTGCTGTTCCTGTGATCTGCAGCTTCGAAAAGAAGTAATGTATCGCATATATTAAGAAATACACTGCAGTGAAGCCGCTGGTGAGGAATGAACGCCACTGCCAATGGTAATCCTAGGTAGCAAAGAAAGTAATTAAACAGCAAGAATTACTTTCCAACGATTATATAACATGGAGTTACAGAGCAAACACTTAGTGAAAGCTCCCCAAACCTAATTTTTGCCACCAGTTGCAACCCCTGGCTTCCACTGAATTTTGTGCACTTCCAGCCTCACTAAAGGTACAAAGAAGCATCTCCCTACCTGCTGTGGAGTAAAACTGGCTGAAAATGTGAGGCAAACTATACAACAGCTTATGAGTAATAATATACTTAAAATTTTGTGATTCCCAAGGAAAAGCAACGTCCAAAAGCGTACATGTACATGGTTCAAATTCAGTATAAATCATATTAAAATCTAGTCAACTCTGTATCAGGAAGGTTATTCTATTAAGGGCTGGCTGAAAAAAATTTTTAGTTATTCCTAACAATTTAGATAAGCTAGGTAATTAAGTAGCTCCTCTTACTGTGTACATAAGTGGCTTAGAGGTTAGCAGAACTTTTAAAAGAGAATAGAAGAGGGCTGGGGATTTAGCTCAGCAGTTCTGGCGCTCTCAGAAGCTCTGGTAATCTGAAGTGTAATACCGGCGTGAGTACACAGATGACTGGATTAGAACTGGTAATGTAGATGTGAACCCACATATCTATGGTCAACAGTGAGAATATATAAATTCTTACAACTCAAGAGAAAGACCATCGACCCAATTTAAAAATGGGCAAAGTACACATTTTTTCCAAAGAACTTATATAATTCATACAAGAAATGATGCTCAATATCATTAAACACTGGAAAATGCAAATCAAAATGAGATATCATTTCAAACCACTGGGACAGCAATAACACACACACACACACACACACACACACACACACACAGAATATAAGTGCAGGCAAGGATTTAGAGAAACTAGCACCTCTGGACATCATTAGTGGGAATGTAAATACAGGACAAAGCAATTCCACTCCTAGGTATACCCCCAAAAGAACTGAAAAAACAAAAACAAAACCACCAGACTGCTATTCATGAATGCTCACAGAACACTATAACAGACAAAAGGTGGAAATGACCCAAATGTCCATCAACAGACGAATGCATAGACATATGTTGTTATACATACACAATGGAATAACAGTCAATCATAAAAAGGAGCAGGTTATATGTGCTACACAATCATGAACCTTGAAAGCACTCTAAGTGGAAGAAATCAAACACAAAAGACCATATATTGCACTTATAAGAAGAAACGGGGAGGGGGGGCGGCAGCTGGGGATTTAGCTCAGTGGTGCTGCCACCTGCCCCACAGGAAGAAACCGCAACAGGTTTATCTTCCAGAGACAGAATGCAGACCAGTAAAGGTTGCCAAGATCTGTGGGGAAAAGGAAATGGCTTTATGTGAGGAGGGGAACGAGTCTATTTTGGAACCCCAGAGGTGGTGGCTGTTCAACACAGCAAATGTGTAAGCTCCAGTGAGTTCTTCACCTTAAAATGGTTTTCTGTTATGTGAATTTAATTTCAAATTAAGACCACCTTGCTTGGCTTAACAGTTAGACACTTTCTTTTGTATAGAAAATAACTATAAAAGAATGGATTTAACAATCTAAATTTTAAAAATGGACTATACTGCATATGAATGTCATCATTTTAGTGTTGCCATGAATGTAACTCATTACAATGCAATCACTGAGACATTGTACTGAATTTTCCCACTCACACTAAATTCTCAGAATCTAGAAATATCTACGAACAAGAAGCTTTTTAGTTTTTCTTCTTTCAGGTTTTGAACCTAGGATTTCACACACGAGGCAAGTGCTCTACCACTTAGCTACAACCTCAGCTCAGAATATCAATTTTTACTTAAACAGTCGTAAAACTCAACAGTGAAAATTTAGCAGAGCATATTATTCTCAGGAAATTAGAATTCTAAAATCTCTAACAGTAAAAGCTGGCCATGGTGGCATACATATGCCTGTAATCCGAGTACTTGGGTGGCTGAGGCAAGAGGACTGCCGCAAGTTCAAGGCCTGCCTGAACTACTTATTGAGTTTAAAGATAGCATGAACTACATAGAAAAACTGTTTCAAAAAGACAAAAACAATCAGCGGTGCTGCATGTGCCTGGCAAGTGCCAAGGTCCTGAGTTCGATCGCCAGTACCAGGGGAAAAAAAATCTCCAAATATACCAAACTAGACTTCACACAATCAATCCTAGAGGCCCACATTCAATTTAAGAATTTGGCCAATTTCTATCATAAACATGCAGCTTCAGAAATTATTCATAAATACATTGGACACATATGTTTAAAGACTGCATTGCTTCTCTGATTTGAGAAAGTGAGTGTGGAAATAAGGACTGAGATGTGTAATGGATTTGGGAAATGGGAAGAAAATGTTCAAATGAGAAGGGGAACAAGGGAGGAGGGAGGGAAAAGGAAGGGACAAGAAAAAAATCCATGAAAATAGGAAAAAATGGAAACAAAGCTTCTGTACATAGGGAAGGGAGGGAGCTTGAGGGCAGGAATGGGATAAAATAAAATTCATTAAAAAAAAAAAAAAAGTATCTCAAGAACAGTCAAGTTGCAATATGCCGAAGTTATAAATAAATACTGTCTGTGAATTAACACAATGCACTGTTAATACATACCTCTGCACATAGGTGGAAATAACAAAGAAGTATAGTTGCTTCAGAACATGTAATAACCAAAATGATAAACACCAGAAACAGGAAGCCAAACATGTAATACATCTGGTGTGACCTACAATCAAACACATCAAGATGAGACCAGAAACATTTTCTCTCTGACACACTAAATGACAACAGTTTCATTTTTCTTGAACTGAGTAAAAGTTGCTTTTTCCTCCAACTAACCAAACGAGTCCAGTTTCCACAAGTTTAGATGGCACGGGGGTGTGCGGGGGTAGGAAGGGAATGGCCACGTCATTAGGTCTCAACCTTTGATCAGGTAGAACCCGAAGCTACTCTTCATTCCAGTATGGTTAGTCTACCTGTCTACTGGGGCGCCGGACATATTGATAAAACTCAACAGAAAGGCAGAACCAAGCTCAGAAAAGACTGCACTGATACATATGGTCTCTAATCACCCATGTTAAAAATCAGTTGAATTTGGAACATCACTGTAATTGATAAGATACTCTAATCACCAAAAAGCTCAAATGTAGTTCTAATTTTATGCTACCTTGAATCTTGCTATCGTCTGTAACGCTGACCAAGGAAATCAATAACGACACCTATACTACTATATCATACATATATATGTAGCAGAGTGGCTCAAAATCACCACAACGAGTTCTCCATGGGAACATGCAGTCAGAGAGTGAGGCCACGTTGGGACTGGAAAGGGTACAAAAGTCATCTGGATCAGCTCGGGCTCAGATCCCTCCAGCAGGCATGCAGAGGGGCTCTTGGGAGCGTACAGGTTATTTACAAATATGGGTTTAGAGACTGTCACGTGGCAGCTGAGTGGTTTAATTACTCAACCTCCAAACCCTCATTTTCATCGCTCTAAAGTGAGATATTATCTACCTGCTAGAATTCTGAAAATAAATTTAAACAGGAGTAAGAATAAGCTTTTGATTAATATTAGCTGTTACCACTACTGTTCTTTTTAAAAACAGATTTTATTTTATCCCATCTCCAAGTCCCTCCCCTCTGAACAAAAGCTTTGTCTCCATTTTTTTCTTCTATTTTCACATTTTCTCTTGTCCCTTTCTCCCTCCCTCCTCCCTTGTTTCCCTTCCCATTTGAACACTTTCTTCCCATTTCTCAACATCCGTTCTACATCTCAGTCCTTATTTCCACATTCAGTTTCTCCCACCAGAGAAACAATGTGGTATTGAAATATGTGTGTCCGATTTATTTCACTTAAGGTCACTATTATTCTTTATCCTATAGCAAAGATAAAATAACCTTTTGGCTGTTACGATTTTTAAACATTAGAGAACTGCTTACATTTAGAAGATACAAATAGTAATCCACAGACTAAAAACAAAAATGAAACAAACAACCCCCTCAGGTATTACAAATAATGGTAACAGGAGTAAGACTTCATCCTTGGCTTACCAAATACTATTCAGAATGAAGAAAAGCTGTATAAAGATGCAGCCGAAGGGCAAAATCCCTCCCATGATAATACCAGGCAGGGGCTTTGTGTAGAAAGACTGTTCAGGAATCTGACGCGGAATCTGATTGGTTCGAACTGGGTGTTCAATGGCCTTCAGGAAAGGAAGAAAAGATTCATAATTACATATCTGTTTTCAAAATTTTTCTCAGTACAAGATTATTGGCCTGCTTTTTCTCAGCTTCCATGCTGACACTAATGGCAATGAAAGTCTACTTAAGCCATCAAACTGAAATTTGTATTTAGAAGCAATGAACCAGACACCATCAGGTACAATACCCGGCCTGTCTACTGGAACAAGTCAACACTGTTTTCAGCAGGTAGCCAGTGATTAATGGCTTTAGACAAAGTAAGAAATATGCAGGAGAGAATATAGTAGTTGGAAAATAATAGTTAATAAAAAGGTAGAGCTAGGTTTTTCATTTTAATTATATACTTACTGTACGAAATCAAATGGTTCTGAAAGTTTTTCAACATTTTTAAAATCTGGAGGTGGGCAATGACATCTTTATTAAATTGCTCAATTTTACTAAAAGTCAAGAACATGAAAAAGGCAATGAAAGGCTAGACGAAGCTTTATAAGCATAAGGTATGGGTGACCACAATTATTCTCCCTTTTAGGACACACTAGGCGGTAGTGTAAAGCACCTGCAACCTTAAGTACCAAAACACCTACACGGGAAAAGGGGCATACACATGTAAAACAGCTCAAAAACATTCTTCCGCAGTTTTTGTGATGATAAAACTGAAATTTAAAACCTGCTATTTTCATTGGGCTATTTCCACAGACTTGATTGTTTTATGTTCAGGCAGATAATCATGTTATTCTTCAACATGAACCATTTTTAACTTTTAAGCAGGATTAATTAAAAAAATTTTTTTTACACTTAATCTACATAACGTTTAAAAGTTCTAACTCTGTTGATTTACTATTTATAATACATAAATTTTAAATCATTATTTCAACTAGTGCCAAGGAACTGAAAAATCTGAACAGCCCAATGTGACGGTGCACCGAGACTCTGAGGCCAGGACGGTCTCTGCAGGTCACTCAGGGACCCCTCACAAGATGCACTCACACCTCACTTCCTTCTTTGGTGTGAGAGCTGGAACCCAGGGCCTCCCTCATGCTAGGCAAGCACTCTACCAACGAGCTACACCCCAGTCCCTACCACGTTGTGTCTTTTAACTTTGTGGAGGAGTAGAGACAGAGAAGAAGGCAGTTAAGAGAAAGATACTGATGGCACAAAATAAATTCTTATTTTCTTCCTAGCCCGAGGGTAGAAGGAGCCAGCAGAAGAATGAATGGTAGACTGGAGGGAGGGATGGAGAGAAAAAGAAAGGAAAGACTGAGCTTTGTCAAAATCAAATATTAGGAAGTGAGCATGTACAATTTATTTCAAAGCCATGCACCACAAAAAGTGTTAATCTTATTTTGTAGTCACTTTTCTTACATATTTATTTCCTAAATTGTGGTATTTGTTTACATAGTTAAGTACTGTATACTAGTGACACTTCTACTTAAGAAAAATACACATATTTTTAGGGTAAAAGAGCTAGCAATGTACATAATGTTAAAAATTCAAAGTTCATTCATTTTCCTAACCATTTATCTATTATCTGTCTGTCTATCAGACAGGATCTCGCTATGTAGTTTAGGCTGGCTTTAAACTCTTTATGTAGCTCAGGCTGGCCACGATCCTCTTGTCTCAGCCTCCTGTGTGCTGGGATTATAAGCATCTGCCACCACACCAGGCAGTTTTCATTAGCTTATATCAGCACTTGTTTTCCAATTAATCTATATTAGTTTCCATTTACTTGAAAAACTCTGAAATCTAAATATATAGCTGTAATACCTCTCTACTCCATTCCTAATATTAGTGGGAGGGTGGGGTTTCTTTTGTTTTGTTTAACAGTACCAGGGACTGAACACAAGGCCTTTGCGCTGAGTTGTATCCATAGCCCTTTTTCACTTTTAATCAGGGTCTTGTTAAGTTGCCTAACTTGCAGGTCTCCTGCCTCAGCCCCCCAAAGTGTTGGGATCACCACTTCCTATCACTATGACTGGCCTAATAATAGTATTTTAAGAATTTTCTATGAAGTTCAGATTCTGTAAGATAAGTCCATGTGTTAGACATTTTTATAATATCTTTCAAGGTGGCATATTTCTACAGCTGAAATTCAACTAAGTTAGTATCTATAAACTTACATTCTTCTTAAAACCAAAGTATGCACCAATAAATGTCAGAGGCACAGATATGCAGAACCACAGGGCCAGTATGGCAACCAGTGTGCCAAAGGGAATAGCCGCCGATGATCCTTCTCCCCAGAGGATTAGGTTCATTATAAAGAAGTCAGCAAACACGATCCTGAAAGACACAACAGGCTTTTTGGTAAGACAAGCAAAGTGAAGTAGTAAAACAGATGACAGTGAAACTTTGTGTTCTAACTGCTGTGTCCTATTGTACATGAATTTAAAACTTTACTAGAACTTACTACTTGCTTCTTCTGGTTCATTTTGTCTGAATGAAATTCCTACAAGCAAACTGCAGAAGTTACCTCTTTCTGTATTTTCAGCAGTCTTAACCTGGACAGTGGCAGTGAGCCTGTGCTATTTGTTGGCTTCCTAGGCTTTACCTCCTGTGACTTGCTGGTTACATCCACTGCTCATTTTCCATCTGGGTTGCATGGGTTTTGCAAAAGTCACACGTGAATCATTTACATACTCCAGTGCCTAATTCTTCATTACATATCCTCCTCTCCCAGTCGTGGATTGTTCTGAACCTAAATATCTGAATGGGTACAACTCAATTTCCTTTCCTCTCAATACATTTTTTTAAAAATTAGTGCATGCTTGCAGTACATGTTTACATTCCTCATGTGGAGTTGGTTCGTGTATATAACACATCATAAATCCTTTTTCCTATTTCCCTTTCTTCCCTCATCTCTTGATCTCCTTCCCATTTGAGAAAGCTCTATTTCCCTACTTCCTATTATCTGTCTTTTATTTTGCTCTTTATGTGTACTTCGGGTTTCTCATATAAAAGAAACCATGTGATATTTAAGCTTGCTTCTCTGATTTCACTTAACATTATGGTCTCAAGGTGAATCCAGCTTCCTACAAATGACTCATTTACCTTTATGGCAGAATAATGCTCCACTGTGTGTCAATACCACATTTTCTTTATCCATTCATCTGATGACGGACATACAAGCGGCTTCCAAGATATAGCTACTACGAGTTATACTGCTATAAACATGGGTATGCACATCTCACTGTTATAGGGAAAGGGAAAGGGGACATTGCCAGAGGCCTCTGCAGTGGTCCTGGCCTCCCACAAGCCAGTGCAACAACCACAAGATAGGAAAGTGGGAATTACAAGAAGCACAAGACAGAGACTTGAGAGAAACTGAGTCTTGGGCTGATCAAAGCTGCTCTGGGCAGCGAAGACAAAGGACTCCCAGGACATCCAGTGTTTATTCATTACAAGTGTGGGAAGGGGAAGCTGGGCAGGCCTTGGACACCTGCTGACACCAAGTGTCAACAGGAAGGACTGCAGAACGAGGGCACAGCATATCTTTGTTGAAGAGAACCAACGGTTAACTCAGAGGGGAAGAATTTAGGTGGAGTCAGGGGACCTTGAAGGGGAGTGAACTCAGCTGAGCTCTGCTCCTTCCCATGTAACACAGCTCAATTATGGAGAGGCAGGACGCTTGCGCCACTACAGCCTGCTAGTCCTGGGCAGAGGGTTCTGCTACACACTGTTAACATAATCTCTTGAAATCTTTCAGGAAGATATCTATGAGGGAATAGCTGGGTCAAATGGAATGTCTAGTTTTAATTTTTTTTTGGTACTGGAGGATCAAACTCGGGACCTCATGCTTGCAAGGCAGGTAGTGGAACCACTGAGTTAAATCCCCGGCTAGCTTTAGTTTTTTGAGGAATTTCCATACTGATTTCGATAGTGTTTATACTAGTTTACAATCCTACCAACAATGCAGAAGGCTTCTTTTTCCCCTACAGCTTTGACAGCATTTCTTATTATCTGATTTCTCAATGATGGCCATTCTTTCTGGGGTAAGATGGAATCTCAGTGTTATTTAAATTTACATCTCTCTAGCGGAGGTAGAGGGAGGGCAGGGACAGGGGGAAAAAATGAGAACCAAGAGGTACAAGATCCCAACAATAAATGTAACTGTACTGTATCCCTAAAATGTACCAATAAACTCATTAAAGCTGAAAATAAATAAATAAATTAATTAATTAATTTACATCTCTCTAATGGATGGTGATGCCGAGCATTTTTCATGTATTTATTGGCCATTTGTATTTCTTCTTCATTTCACTTGCCCATTTCTTGATTGGGTCTTTTATTTGGGGGTGTCAACTTTTTATTTTTTTTAGTTCTTTATATATTCTAGATATTAGTCCTGTAAGGAACAGCTGGTGAAAATTTGTCTCATTCTGTAGACTTTCTCTCCTCAATTAAAAAGCATTTTTTTGGTAGAAATCACATCATCCATAAAAAATAACCTGATCCTACATTTTGGATTGTATTTCTCTTATTTCTGTTTCCTGCTGTGTTGTTCAGAGAAAATAAATAACTGAAGCCATGAAAGCTGGGGTTCTTAGTACTCCCTTACAGTCACTTGGTGCTCTCTTGTTCTATGTTCTTTATCACTTTGCTTGTGTTTACCTACTTTCAGGGTGAAATTAAAAATATATAAATAGATCAGGGACATAAGAGAAGAACCAGCATGGGATAATGAAGCCTAAAAAGAAGTTTCAACCATTTGGTATGGTTTAGATCTCAAGTCAGAGATGGGGCTTTTGGAAAATGACAGGATCATGGAGGAACTATAGTCATCAGTGGATTAATCCATTGACAAGGTCCTGTGGAATGTGCTATCAGGAGCTGGGGTCTGGTCAGAATAGGGGGTCACTTGGGGGTGTGCATTCTTGTCTCTGTATTTTTCTGTTCTCTTGATGTTTTCTGGCTGCCACAGAGAAAGCAGATATCCCTGCCATTCCCTTCCACCATGCTGTTTTTGCCTTGGAGTCAACCAACCATAGACTGTACTCAGAGAAACTGTGAGCTAAACCCAGATAAACCGCTCCTCTTTTTAACTTGCAGATGTTGGCTATTCTGTCCCAGTAATGGGAAAGTAACTGATACACTATTTATCACTGCTGCTGGTTCAGGGGTCAGTTCTTGCCCACCAGAAGTGGAAGTAGGGGAACAACTGGGGTTCTACTTCTAGGCCCAGAAGCAATATTATTAGATATCTGAGATTGGAAGTGGTCCTTAGAAAGTCAACAATTTGTTCTGATTTGTGGTGACTGTTTAGTACGTATTATTCACTGAATGGAATATTCTAAAAAATGGCAAGACTTGATAAAAATCCAAAAGCATACGCTTGCCTAAACATCTTCAGGGGAACCTATTTCCATGATTAGGTGAAAAACCTTAAATCAACCTTACATGACAACATATCAGACTGGCTACCACAGAAAACAGGACACAGTAAATTCTAAGAAAAAACAAAAACAAAAACAAAAAACAAAAACCCCCAAAACATTTCTCACATGCAAAGGTGATTTTCCCAGAGAAATCATGCCATAGTCATTTGGAGATTTTTTCCCCCCAAATTTCAAAAAATAAATTTGTTTTCTTAGGGATATGATTTAGAGACAGAGGATTAAAGAACCAGCAACTCAAAAGCTGGGAACAAAAATATGACTATACAAAGTAATTACTGAAAAATTCGCTTACCCAGGACAAAGAAATGATGTCAATAAAACATTTGTTTTCCACTTCTCACCTCCAAAAGCTATAGAAGAAAGCAAAAGTGACATAAGTAGACTTTTCTTTATGGGTCTGAGCCTGGCACTTGCCAAACTGCCAGGCACCACCAGCTGCTCATTCTCAGAAGACAGTCCTGGCAATCGTGCAGTGGTTTCCCTATCCAGTGGTGCAAAGCTGGGCCACATAACCCAGGCTGGCCTGAGGATGGCCTGCGCTGTAAGCTGCTGCTCAGCTAAGAAAGGTCAGAAACTAAAGGAGTTCTCTAGACCAGCTCTTTGTTCTTATTTTTTTAACCTCAAACAAAACAAACCCCTTAAGTCCTGAGCCAGCATTAATGGGACTGGCTGTACAAAGGACACACTAGGGATTCTCATTTATCTGACAATTAGGGAGTGTCAGAATCTGCTCTAAAGCCTGGAACCCTCGGGCATGACACACAACATGTTTAAATTCTCACAGTCGACTGGCATCTTCCAGGTCTTCTAGCTCTGTGGTTCTGGCAGGATTTAGGGAGGTGAGCACGTCAGATCAGGCGACTAGGAAGAGAAGGTCATGGCCCTTTGCCAGAACAGCCTTGCTGATCAATTTTTGACTCTCTTTTGGCCCACCTCAATTAAAACATATACTAAAATACAGAGTAAAACATCAAAGTGTTACCCTGTTCCCAGTTTAAAGTTCGCACATGAAAGTAGCTCAGATGAGAACACCTTTAATTCTTAGAAAAAGTTCTAACACGATTTATAAGCAAGTTCGAGTACCACTTGCCCTCAAAGAAAGTCGTGTACCAATGTTTATAATATGCCATATTATATGTGATATGAATTCACACTGTGATTAATTTATGAAATTATTAATTCTGGGCTTAATACAACTCCAAAATTCTAGTATTTTTCAAGCATGAGAAATGATTCTACAAAATGAGGTGCTTTTCTGCTAGGGCCGCATGACAGCACTCTTTGAACACTGCCTCTCATCCACAGTGGAGGCCTGAGGACAGAGAGGGCGAGCGGGCACGGGATGGGAAGGCAGGCATAAGGGGCGCAGTCTGGGCCACAGAACAATCACCACGGGGGAGCAGGAGGAGGAGTAAACTGCAGCTGCAGTGGCAGGCAGGGGTCTGACTGCATCTCCTGTGTTAAAATACAATAACCACCCTAATCCTACATCCTATAGTAAAGAGGAAAAGAAAAAAAAAAGAACTTGGAAAAAATTGAAGACACATAGACATATACATGGGAGGGCTTCATGGACTCAGAAGAGGACGTGGCTAATTCTCACCTGTCATTCTATGTTAGGCCAAGATTCCCTGACCCAACCTAAAGGCAGCCTGTGTAATCTTCCCGAGTTTCACCTCAAATCTTGTCCTATTGATAAGATGTCGGGGGAATCACTGCTTATAAACCCCAGGTTATCGACAGCTGCAGCACCATCGCCAGGGCCGCCTCTGACACAGACCCTGCCAAGTTGCCTCTTGGCCATGTAAACATCTTAGCCACCCTGACCTTTTTTGGGAGGCTGATTTTTGTTTTACTTCTGGAAAGCAAACTACAGAAGACTGTAACTCATTATAAAAGCAACTTACTCCAGGGATCTCTAAAATACTGAGCTCTTAGTTCACATGAAATGTGGTTTACTTTTTATAAAGATCAAACGAATGCATTGAGAACCCTGGGATGTTAAAATTTTTTTAGCTAGATGTTACTTGTTTTAGTTAAGAAATCAATGATACTTATTTGCACACTTTCCTCCTCTGACATTCTCTCTTTACTTCCATGAAAACAGCCAATCTAAATTGGCCCTGTCTGTTAAGCCAAATCTTACAATAAGAGGCTGCGGCGGTGGATAATAATGAGCATCCAAACTGCTCACTTCACTGCTGAAGTATACTGGAACCACAATCCTAGGGTCAACCACCAAGGCAACAAAAGACATCACCAACCAGGCTTCTTCTTTCTACCTGACACCCAGTCAGACCAATTCCTGACATGACACCAATCACAGCACTTTTACTTACACTTATAGAATCTGGCCGCAACGTAGCCTGCAGGAGTGCCCAGCAGCACCCACAATACAACAGCACACGTCATCAGCGCCCCTCGGTTGGCGGGGGACAAAAACCCCAGGCAGGCAAAAACTAAAAAACAAATCATTAAAGGTATAAATGTAATTACTCTGTGACCTTGGCTGTGAAATGAAAGAACTCTCTCAATGAATAAAATGAATACAACTTCAAGAAAAATACACACTGTCTGGCACTCAGCTATAAGAGACCTTAGTAACATTTAAGGCATTTGTCAGTATGATCCTACATCAGGCTTGGAGCGCCTCACCAGGGTCCTCACCCCAACTGTCCCAGGTCTGGGCAGGCTGGCCAGGCGTGCTAGTGCTTTCAGTTCTGCTGAGATCCAACGACTATCTTCAAAATTAATGTGGATAAAAATCACCCTCATTTTTATTTATTTAAAAATATTAAGTCCTCTGGGGTAAAAAACAGTCAAATGTAAGTGATAAGACAAGATCTAATCACAAGAGGGAAATTAAATTAAATTAAAGAGGGAAATTAGGAAGGACTTGGCCAATAGCTCTAAGAAACTATCCTCTTACCCTTACTTGTTAGTTAGCTTTGCTGGCTCTTGCCTACATAGCCCTTCACGCTGACTGGAATATAAACCCTATTTAATATGCACAGAGATCCCCAGCTTGACGTTGGGGCTTGAAGTTATGATGTGTTCACAATGGCAAGGCCACTAAGATACCACCAAGAGCATCTCGAACAGCCTTCTAATCCCAGCAGGAAGACAATCCATTGTTTGTGCACATGTACGTGACTAGTCCTGCAGGCACAACCAGCAGGCAGACCACGGTAGCTTCAAAGATCCATCTGGATACCAGGTGAGATGTACCCCACTGCAACCCAGGCTGGAGAAACGGACTGTCCTGAAACACCAGGTTCCCCCTCAAGGTCTTAAGGGCAAGGATTCCTATCACATCCTTCTCTCCTCCCTTGTAGAGCCATTTTTGAGTCAAAAAGACTCTTAGAAACAATCTAGCCTAGTTACTTCAGGTAAGAAACCTGGTTTTCAAATAATTATTTAGAAAAAGTATCTCTTCCAATTTTCACTTGACACTTACATAGAGTCACAAAAGTCATAATTAAAATCTGTGTCCCAGATCCTAGGAAGACTGACAGAAGCATTCCTTTTCTGGGAGGACGGAATATGTCACCATGAACTAGTTTCCAGCCAAATTCTTCCTGGGCATCCTCCTAAAATGGGAAAGAAATCCATTCAATGTGCAATATGACATCACCATGACAACTAGATAAGTGTGCTCACTGTTGAATACTCTGTTAACAAAAAACATAAATGTTAATATCTACTTCAGTTCCGAAGAACAGAAGCAAAAATTTTATATGACTTTCTGTATTTTCTCTAAAGAAATATTACATATTAAAGTCCATAAATAGTTATCAAGAACTTTATAAAGACAATGTAATTCCTATCTACTCTGTCAAACTTTGTGATTCAACTTGACTTAACTTTGATTACACACTATCCTTTTTAACCTACATTCATTAATCTACAAAATATGCAGATGGTATTAGCACTTGCACTATAGCTATTTTGTTAGTACAGTAAGCGTGGCCATTCACAATATTACCAAGTCTGTACTGAACTGCACCCACGGTCTCCAGATGTGTATAAGAACAAATCAACAACTCCACTGGTTGTCTTAAGAAAAATCTTATCAGAACTATCCATAACTGCACCGATTCTCTCCCTCATCTAAGTCTGTTCTTCCTACATTCATTTCCAGTAGACAAAAATGCCATCCTTCCAGCTGCTGAGTCTCCAAAACTAAAGTCATTTGTGTTTTCCTTTTTCTGTGTCTCCCATAAAACCCTTTAATAAATAAACCCTGTAACCCTACCCAAACAGACCCACAGGATGCCCACCTCTTCCATCCTGGTTCTGGCCATCACATCTGACCTGGCTGTCCCCTGGAGACAATAAACAAGTCTGCTTCTGCCCTTGTTGCTGTTCAGCAATTACAGGGATCCTCTGAACTAACCAGGCATCTGATGCTAGGTATCTGGGTCCATCACGCACTTCTACACTCTCCACAGCCAGTCACCCAGCTTCTCACACCTAAACATCCATCCGCTTGTCCACTCCCTCCCCCCACCCCTCCACCATCCCATCTCTGGGAGTTCTGTCAATGGTCTCCTAACTGCTCCCTGCACCTCTCATTTTCCCTGCTCCAAACAATCCTCCACGCGACATTCAAAGTGGTTTTCCTAAAACATGACACTGTTCTTTCAAATTCTCCAAATGCTGATTGATGACCTTCAAACTCTATAGCTTACAGGTCATTCAGAATCTCAGCCCCACTCTTTCCCTCAACCTTCTCTCAAGTAAATCTGCATCCTTTTCCCAAATTTCCATTTAAACATCTATCTTTTTGCACAGCATAGACAATGTTATTCCTAACATACTTCACATTTTCTTTGATTTTAGTAAACACAAATCTACTGAAAACACAACAGCTAATTTACAGGACAATAGTAATAAAAATATTTCCTTCCCCCCTTCATACAAAACACTTGCATGCCCTTGAGAATTATACTTTACCTGGTCATTACAAGGTAATGACAAGATGAAGGAATGTACAAGGAATAATATTCCTTGTATATTACAAGGAATGTACAAGATGAAGTATATTAAAATTGTATCTAGAATTGTTTTTATTTATTTATTTATTTATTTGGTACTGGGGATTGAACTCAGGTCCTTGTGCTTGCGAGGCAGTTACCAGAACCACTGAGCTAAATCCCTAGAACTGTTTTTTTTTTTAACTGAGGGAGATTGTCAGTTTTTACAGATTAAACAGAACTAAACATAACTCAGCAAATGTTGGGTGATGGGTATACTGATCTTATGTTTGTGAATGTTTAAAACCTTGGAGACAAGAGTAAATGTACTTCTTCTAGATGGTACAGTGTTGCACAAGGGGACATTTCTGATTACTTTTTATTGGATATTTAAACAAACAAACAAACAAACAAACAAACAAAAAACCCCCAAGTTCTGTCCAGAGAGACTTTTTCTAGGGCAAACCTATGTGACTACAGTATGTTCTTGTTATCCTTCCTATGCAAATGCACAAATAATTTTCTCATATTTTCTTAACACAAAGATAGCACATTATAAACATACTTCATATTTTGCTTGCTTTTTAAAGTCTTTGCTTTGGGTTACTGGAAATTGAATCCAGGCCTTTGCACACTGTAGGGGTTCAGGTGCAGTGCCAACATGACTGGATTTGAGATTTGCCCTAGGGACTAGTGGAGTACACTTCTAGGTGTCTGGGTGGTTCATCAAGATAGCCTGGACTGGTCTCTGTGTCTTCTTTTCTGGCACTGAACTAAGCTGCTTTGCTCAACACTGTTCTTCCACTATGTCTTGCCCAGGAGACATCCAGCCAACCATACAATGAATCTCCTTAAAATGTGAGTCAAATTAAACCTCTTCTCCTTTAAATTGTGGCTGTTGGGTATTGTGTGCAACAACAGAAAGCTAACTAAGACATACATCCCAGGCAAAATGCTGTACCACTGAGATACATCCCTAGGCTTTTTATTTTCTAAGGTAGGTTCTTGCTATACCTGCCATGTAGTTTAGGCTAGTCTTACATTCACTATACCGCCTAGGCTGGCCTGGTTCTAAGAGTAATCTTTCTACCTCAGCCTCCCAAAGGCTGGAAGCACAGGCTGGGATTACAGATGTTTTTCTCTAACTCTTTTCTTTGGTACTGGGAATTGAACTCAGGGCCTTGTGTTTGCCAGGAAGACACTGCACTGCTGAGCTACATCCCCAGTCTTTTGACTTTTTTTTGGAGACAGGGTCTCATTATATGGTCCAGGCTGGCCTCAAACTAGCTGTGTAACCAGGGCTGTTCTCAAACTCGCAGTGATCCTCCTATCTCAGCCTCATAAATGCTGGGATCACAGGCATGCACCACCATGCCTGACTTCCTTGGCCCTTAAAAAAAAAAAAAAAAAAAAAAAAA